AAGCCACGAACTATGAAAAATCAATTAATCACTAAAATTAACTGTTTTATTATTATTACTAGTTATTGGGCGTGTTCGTGAATTATTATTACTGTGCTTTGTATGCAAATCAGCTGCAAATAAAGGTTATTGCTTTCACCTTCAAGCCACGAACTATGAAAAATCAATTAATCACTAAAATTAACTGTTTATTATTATTACTAGTTATTGGGCGTGTGTTCGTGAATTATTATTACTGTGCTTTGTATGCAAAATCAGCTGCAAATAAAGGTTATTGCTTTCACCTTCAAGCCACGAACTATGAAAAATCAATTAATCACTAAAATTAACTGTTTATTATTATTACTAGTTATTGGGCGTGTTCGTGAATTATTATTACTGTGCTTTGTATGCAAATCAGCTGCAAATAAAGGTTATTGCTTTCACCTTCAAGCCACGAACTATGAAAAATCAATTAATCACTAAAATTAACTGTTTATTATTATTACTAGTTATTGGGCGTGTTCGTGAATTATTATTACTGTGCTTTGTATGCAAATCAGCTGCAAATAAAGGTTATTGCTTTCACCTTCAAGCCACGAACTATGAAAAATCAATTAATCACTAAAATTAACTGTTTATTATTATTACTAGTTATTGGGCGTGTTCGTGAATTATTATTACTGTGCTTTGTATGCAAATCAGCTGCAAATAAAGGTTATTGCTTTCACCTTCAAGCCACGAACTATGAAATCAATTAATCACTAAATAACTTTATTATTATTACTAGTTATTGGCGTGTTTCGTGATTTATTATTACTGTGCTTTGTATCAAATCAGCTGCAAATAAAGGTTATTGCTTTCACCTTCAAGCCACGAACTATGAAAAATCAATTAATCACTAAAATTAACTGTTAATTATTACTTCTTTTGAACTTGTTATGCGAAAATTGCCAGCAGGTTTTAAAGTTATTAATGGTTTAGCGCTAAATTTATTGCTTTTTGAGGAAATCAGGTCACCATAATCACTAAAATTAACTTCTTTTGAACTTGTGCGAAGAACCAGCAGGTTTTAAATATGGCTTTGGTTTAGCGCTAACTTTTTGAGGAGCAAAACAGTTTCTAATTTCGTCAAAAGAAAAACAGTATATAGTGCAGTGAAATCAAAAGCAATATCATTTTAAGAAATTTATGTTTATATCTCAGGTCTCACTTTCATTGTAGAATTTCTACCCCTTCCAAAAATAAGTGCTTGTAGCGGAAATACGGATATACGTAACGTGCCATTACAGGTATCATTTATTAATTATACTCTTTATTGAGTGAGATAAACGTTGATAAAATATTATTAAGAAGTAATAACCGATCCGTTTGTTAAAATATAACCATCCAGTGTGTTATCATACATTGGTTTTGTGTATATGTATTTTAGGAGGAAAATTAAAATTCTTATGCACCTCATAGAATCGGGAATTTTACAGGTCGCTTAGCTATATGAATGCACGCCGATCTGGTAGTGCAACGTAAAGTTTCCTGTTGTAATGCGAAAGTTAAATGATAAGGACATTTCCAATACAAAAGAATTATAAACTGAAATTAGTTTCGTACAAATCATTCAAAATTAATATTATAGTGAACCCTGTCTAAGCTGTTCATCCCCAGTATTAAACCCTCTCTGAGCCATTCGTTCCTGACATTACATGATTTTGGTCTTTTGTGGAGGTGGTTACCTTAAAGAGCTCATGTTGATGTGAAAACACCACAGCAAAAAAATATAGCGGAAAAAAAAACTTCGAAAAAAATAACGCAAAGGGAACACATCATGGTACAAAAACATGGTGGAATGAAAAAAAAAAGGGGGGGAAGTAATGCAGTTCTAAAACAGCATGGCAAAAACTGAGCAGTTCTATAACATCGTCGTACAAAATATCGTGATACAAATAAAGAATCTGTGAATCATGACATAACAATAACATCACAGACATGCGTTTTCTTCCTGAAAAAAAATGTTAAATGAATTTTCGCGTAATGTTTCCTGGCAGAAGAAAAAAAATAAGTAAAATTTTTACCTCTATAATTTCATATTTCGTATTAATTAATAATATTGTAATGAAAAGCCAAGAAATTTAAGCTTTAAAAATCTGGAAATTATTAAAAACTAATAAAATGTATAACATTTAACAGGAGATAAAATTTATGTACGTTCCCTTTTCTAATAGTTTTTATAATATTGTTTTCATGAAAATCTACTTAAACGTCCTTATCAAAGAGGTTAATTAAATATTGATTTTTGATAGTGAGAAACATAAGTTTAAAACTTTGCCACGTCCGGGTCACCATTGTAGCAATCACATGGTGGTATGCTCTCTTAATATGTAGTTTCTCGCTCATGTGGCCACCCATAAGCACCAATGTGAAGTGTAGCAGCGCACGAGTTTCGCTTGCACTGGAGATGATAATGACCTTGGGATTCTATCCTCGGTCTGTTTCATGCAAGTCGTATTCTCTACCACTAGTTCAAAAAAGCTTCCGTGCATTAGGTTCAATAATTCAAACTCTTTCAAATTTGTGAAGGTTGAGTGGCCCTCGAGATCGCTACAATATTAACATCTATATGTAACATTAATGCACATTAATTTTCAGATTTCGAACACTTGAATTTGCTTTTTACTTTTTCAGAAAAACTTTATCAAATAACACAAAAATATGGGAAATAGTGGTAAAAATAATATCGTGTATCTTCTAGTGCTCATAAATCATCAGGAGAAAATTTACTTCACATTTTTCTTGTCAGAAAATGATGTTATCATCACGCGATGATTTATACGTGCTTTATTATTTTACTAGGATATTTTTTATTACGGCGTTTAAAGCTGCGAAGTTTTCGGCATCGCCATTACTTTCTACTGCGATGTCTTTTGTTTGCTTTTTTCTCCTGACGTTTCGCACGACAACGTTTTTCCTTTGCGTTGTTTTCTCCGCGACATTTTTGTAAGCAATGATTTTATCCGTGTGATGACTACATAGCCGTTCATCGTTTTTCTGTCTAAGTATAAAATTCAGAGGAAAGCGATCATTCCGTTCGTTATGAATACATATGCAAATTTTGTTTACATTACAGTGTTTTGCAACCTTAATTATTAGGCATGCGACTTTGGGATTAGGCTTAACAGCCCCGTCGTTCTAGCTTGCTGATGTTATATAATTGAACCACTCGAGAGACAGGACTGTCGGAGCGCCACCCAAGTGCGGACCTTATCAATTCATAAAATACTATTCCTCCCTAAATATAGCAAGCTTCCAAAGAATGCGCGTCTCTTCGGTATCTTAATAAAATAAACATAAATTTCTCCCCACCCTCCACAAAAAAAAAAAAAAAAAAAAAAAAAAAAAAAAAAAGAAAGAAACCATGACGCACGTTAACACTCAAACAAGTACGGGAAAAAAGCAGTAAATCTATAAAATAGTGTGCAATACTTTTTATTAACGTCTATAGGCTATATATTCTTTGAATATTGTAAGCCAAGTTGCATGCCGTATACATTCATCTAAATTCGTTTAACAGCATCTTAAATGAAATAATTAAAATCAAGAACTCGTGGTCCGAATGACTGTAGTTTCGAATATCTGGAGATAAGGGATACGATAAGGAGTTCTTAATGCGTAAGGGAACCGTTTCTAAGATGACCATTTATGATTCCAGATGATTTTGGTATTTTCTGGAAGCGGCCATCTTACAAAGAATATATTCAATACCAAGCCATTTTAGAAAGCTGGTCAGTTCCAAAGTGTTCACTGTACTTTTACAAGCACATGAAATGATATACGTAAATAAAAACTACGTATATAAAAATAACTACGTAGAATAAAAAAGTATATAACTGCATATAATACAAATTAATTATAAAGAGAGAGCCTTCAATCAGTTGTTACCGAAACGACGAATCTCATTCGAAAAGAGGTTACCTTTCGAACTACAAGTAAAAAACAGAAAACGTTCTGAGAACGACATAATGTTGTGGTCGCAGATGGATGAGGCTTATCAGATTCAGATGTGTTTTGCCACGTTGTGACGTAATTTATTCTATTTTCAATCGAAAATATCAGATAACACCTTTTCTTCAATGAAAACTTTCGATATGAAATAAATATGTTCCAGAACCATTTATACTCAGATGTCTGTTCGAGTGCTTTGTTTACCGTAGGGGAAAAAAGAAAAAAGAAAAAACAAGAGATAATTTTGTTCAAAACTCAAAACTTTCTGTTTCATTTCATGCTTTCCAACTTGATGTTTACGAAATAATTACCAACTTTGTGACTACACATTTCTCGATCTTAAATAGGCGAAAAATATAATAACATTAAAATTTTCGAATTTTCAATTTTGGGGTAAAAAAATAAAGTAGACTAAAGACGATTCCAAAAATATATAATTTATGCATGTTTCGAAATTTTAAAAGACCGAAAACTTTCATAAAAAAATATAAACAAGCACTATCACCCCCACCAGTTTAAGGACATGTCTGGTGTGGTTAATATAAAGCCATATCAGCTACTAAAAAGTATGTCTGTAAATATTCTTTGCCAGAACCTATTTTATTAGCTTTTAAAAGTGCGTTTAGAAATCTCTTCAATAACTTATAAAAAACACAGGACAAGCATACCAAAAAACTGGTTTTGTGAGTGTTATCGTATTAACATTAGATTTGTTAGATACGGTAATATGTTTTAATGATGGTTTACAAAGCCGCAATAAATTAGTGAAAATTAATTTTTGTGCATTTTAAAATTTAGAAGCACCCTAAGAAAAACATACAATTGCTTGTGTAGACAAAAACTATTTATTTAACCATTCATGAAAAATAAGATATTAAATTGCTTCTACTGCTGTCAATAGCTTTCACGCTATTCTTAATTTGAAAACTTCTAGCATACATGAAATTCTGCATCACCATTATACTTTATAGATTTCTTTATTCTACACATGAGTTTGAAATGACTCTTTTAATTTTCTTCCTTAGCATGGGCTCAAAACAGAGGCAGTGTGAGATACGTTCCACCTGAGGAATACGATGGGGAAAGCAGACGAGCTCAGCATCCTCCACCCACCAGAGGAAGTTCCACAAGGCGTCAGAGGCCAACCAAGGCTCCAGAATCATCCGTTCTGGATGAAGAACATCAAGTTTATCAGGTGACTAAGATAAAAAATTCTCATCTGTAATCTGAAAAAAGAGCACACTAATTACAAGCCGAAGAATGTTTTTGAATCATCTCAGCAATATAAAATCTAATAAATAATCAGATGACCGATAGCGATAAGTAATGATAGATTTACAGTTTCATTTTGCATGCATTTCTATGATCTATTATACTATAATTTGTTAAGTTAGAGAGAATTAAGAAATATTTGTAGAATAAAAAGCAAAATAATCTATGTTTTTTATTACTTATAGCCCCCTCCAAACCGTGAAAGAACTTCTTTCAGAAGAAATCCAACACGTGATGCTCTTCCTCAATCTATACCCGTTAGAAACGAGGAAAAAACTCGATTTTCCCCAACAACAGTCAAAGAATTACCTCATATAACTACAGCAGCTCCAGAAGGACGGCCTCAAGGAAGAAGGCGTAGACCAAAGAAGAGGAGGAGACCTCAGGCGGCTGTTGCGAAGGCAACAGAAGGGCAAAATTTGGAAGATCCGTCAAGTGACAAAGTATCTGAATTATTAGATTCTGACCAGAAAAGGTCTCAGCCATTCCATGGAAGCACTGAATCCCGAAGTGCTCCAACAAATTTGGATTCCGATCCCAGTTATCAATTAGATCCAACTCTTTGGGCTAATAATAAATTTGATGAAAGTATTTCTAATCCGACAGGAACAAACGCTGGTAGTTCTCAATATTACCCGCCAGAGCCAGCTACCAACAGACTGCCAGTGGAAGATTCCGGTAGACCTGAAAATAGTCAACGGTATCCTCAGTCCTCCCCAGACCCCACAAATACTAGATACGTTCCACCACAGCCTGAAACTTCCATACCAAACAGAGCATCATATGTGCCAGTTCTTCCTCCTGTTAGGAACACAGCAGCGGAAATCTCACATTTACCTCACGAAGATTATTCAGAGGACAGAGGCAAAGATGCCATGCGGCATACGATATCTCTAGATCGCAGCAATTCTCAAAGACCTCCTGCAGACAGATCACCATCCGATCCAAGAGATTTAATATGGAATTCCGGAATTAAACCAGCTCAGAATGATATCCATCCTAACAGTGAATCTGCGGTGCCGACGCGAGGTCATTCTGATGTAAGATTGCCACAGAATGAGCAACCACTTCTTGCTCCAGATTTAAATAAAAATTTTGATTCGTCAGAAGAAGTGCTGCGCAACTTGCAGCACAATGAAAGGCCTGAAGCAGATGTGGACAGTCAAGAAATCTCAAATCCTACAAATCGGCTCCCTAATCCTTCTGTAACGCATTACGATTCAGTTTATCCTTCATATACAGATGAAAACTTGTCTAACAGGGAAGAATCCAATTTTGCACCTCACCGTAGACAAGAAACTGTACCTACGGCTACTAGAAACTCAGTGTCTTCCCGTAGTCAACCTCAGATCGATGAGTCGACAAGGCCAAAAGATGACATTAATGATGCAAATATTGGCGGTCGTCAGATTTCTAGATATCAGCCACCTCTTCAAAGAGCTGGATCAAGATATAGACCTGAAGATTCAGAAAGAACATCAAGCTCCAGAGATCAAACGAATCCAACAGACCAACCAGCATATATAGCTACGAGAGGCCGTGGATCGGTTAGACAGCAGTCAGGAAATGCACTTTCAAAATCGCGCGGTTCTTCTAGACATCAAGCCGAGCGTTCAACAGAGACGCCAGTTAGAACAAGAAACACGCAGCCTCACGACTATGATCGGGCACCTACCCGAACGCGAGGTACACAACGGTACCAACCTGATCCCACTGAGACTGGTTCAAGAGTCAGCTCTAGAAGACAACCCGTAAATCTAAATTCCGGAAGTGATACTGTCCATGCACCTGTTGCTCCTGCTCATCGTCAAAGATTACCTGTTCATAGCGATACTGTAGCTGAAGATCATCAGCCTGCAAGACCTAGCGTAAATACGAGATACGAGCCTTCGGCACTTACATTACACGACGCAGGTGACCTGAAAGACACCCTGCGTTCAGAGCCTGAATATGAAATCAGAGACTACAATGCACAGCCACATCTTGAAGATGCCGGAAATTTGCGAAGCCTTCTGCGTACAAGCCCTCAAGCTGAAGTCAGGAATCACGAGCAGCCATATGTAGAAGAACCAGCAGAAGAACATAACGACCGAAACAAATACGTGCCTGAATATCACACGCCGAGGGTACGCACTAGGAATGAAAATTTCGATCAGCAACGAAATTCGCCAAGAGAACAACCCGAGCGTTCTCGCACGAATCGTAATCAGCATACACCAAGTCAATTACCTCAGTACCAAGAACCCCAGAATCCTCGTGTTGATCGTAGACAACAAACAGCCAGAACCCAATCCCGTCAACAATCCAGATCAAGGCATGAAGAACCCATTCCACAAACAGTTCGATCATCGGGTGGTGCTAAGTTTTCGTGTCCCGATCCATTTGGTTTCTTTGCCGATCCCATACAATGCGATAAATATTATGAATGTCGAAATGGTACTGCTGTAGAAAGCCTTTGCAATGATGGACTTGCTTTCAATGAAATCAGCGCTCCAAAATATTTGCGATGTGATTCTCTAAGAGATGTGGATTGCAGCTCTAGACCTCAACTTCGTAAGTATTCTTTGTTTATTTTTACTGTTTATGTTTACGTGAATAATTTCTGCTTTTCATGTAAGTACAACTGAAAAATTAAATTTCTTCTCAGCAAAATACTGTGACATATACAAATTTGCAAAGATTAAAGTTGCAAATGATCTATTTCATGCAACATGCAATAATTCATTGGAATTAGTTATCTAAATTAAAATTAGTTTGAAATAAAGTGACTATTTTGCCGATTCAGAAGGTAAATATCAATGAATATGAGAGTGGGCGAAAACGAAAAGAAGAAAATAACTTTTCTGCTCTAGACACTAACAATTAGGTAGCTTAAAATAAACTCATAAAACATGCAAATTAATTTTTGTTATTACATAAGTAAATCTTATTAGAAACGCGGAAGAAATTACCTTCAAGACACGAAAAGAACTGAAAATTTCGTAATGTCAAATGTGAACTGTAAACAAACATTTCAAAGCCACCAACATATTTAACTGCTTTCTACTTCACAATTTCTTAGTGCTGGTAATGAAATGAGTTGCCCTTACACTCTAGAAAGCTTACAATAATATGAAGTAGTTTAACACAGAGATATGTTGGTCAGACGCTCCTTTCGCAATGAAATAAGTTCATAAGGAAATGCATATTATCAAGAGTTACAGTTGTAAGCTCATTTAGTTTCAAAAGCTGGCTTTGCAGCTTAAAGTTATTACTTTTTCGCTAATAATTTTTATTATATTAAACTAAAAATTGTTTGTATAATTTTTCTTTCATTTTTTTTTATGATTTTCAAAATTTACATTAAACGATTCTCTTCAGCAAACACAAATAAATTCCTTTTCTGCTTATTTCTTAAACTTTAAGAGTTTCTCAGTGCGTTGGGGCCACCAGCGGCCGAGCGGCATAAAACAGCTGAACGCTGGTAATTCGACCAGGGTTCGATTCCAGGAGAATGGGCTAGGTGCATGGGCGTTTACGTGGCTTTTCCAGTAGGATTCCATTTAGTTCACTAACCAGTTATTTTAAGTTTGGTATCTTTCCTGAATTCTCTTTTTCATCTTTGCGTTTTCTCTCCAGAATGCAAATTAAGTAGGTGAAAGAGAGTATTTAAACGGGTGAAAGGAGAAGGTTAAGACAGAGCGTGATTACGTTAGTGTCGCGTACATTTGCTATTTTGTCCTCCAACTAATAGCGGTTGCGCATTCTGGCCGTTTTAATTAGTCTATCGCCGGCGAAGTTTCCTGAGTCAGCCTGTTATGATAAATTAAATTGCACTATTCTTAGATAATTTAATTTATCATGATTTATGATTTAATTTATCATGATTTATGATAAATTAAATTACACTATTCAAAAGGTAAGAGCACTACGTCTTACCTTTTGAATTTATTGTTAGATTTACCTGTTCTACCCGAAAGGAGTTCGTATTTTTGTGAGCAGGAAGTCCGCGCCTTTCTGTTAATGATAAATAATAAATGATAAAAATTAATGATAAATAAAAAAGGCTTTTTACCCCCTTTTCTTTCTAGTGTTACTCTTTATGCCTGTGTGAAAAGTCGCCAGGCAAAACTCTGGGATCTAGACACTTTGTAAGGTAGCCAAAAGAGACTGACCTTATAATCACTTGTGTAACGCGGATATGATCCAATTTCTGTCCTCCACGAAGTCCTCCACGAAGGAATTCCTTCCCTTACGCATAGCCCTAGCGTGCTTTGCCATTAATCATATAAACTAAACAAATCTTTTCGTTCTTTGCGTGGTCTAAAAGTAGGACCAAGTCAATTTTACCTCCTTCCACACATTTTCACTAGTGAAAAGATTTCGCAGATTAATTGAATTAACTGTCAGGATGTGTATATCTTTTGATTTGCTTTGGAAATATGATGTGTCCTGAATAAGAACAGGGAGCTTACTCAGGCTATGTTCAAATATGTGTGGAATAGACAACACCAGCAGGAAGGGTTGATTTTACCCTTTATTCTCTATAATATCACAGGTGCTCCCGCACTTCGAGATGCAGAGACCGACCACTTGTGGTCTGAAAGTAAAAGTATAAAATTATTAACTAAAATTCTAAATAAGAGCTAACTTTGAATTAGTTTACAAATGCCTGACACTAAAACTGGCCTTTTAAAAGATTACGTATGTAGTAGGCAAACTGCCGAAACTACAATACGTTTTAATTATCAAGAGGACTAAACCTCTGGCCTTAAAGGCAAGCAGCAACTGATTGAAAGCTCGCGTGCAATGCAATGGCAAGGCGGCTCACTTCCTCCTATCCCCCTCTTTCTTAGCGAAAAGCCACAACATAAATACTTGGGCGTTAGCAAGTACAATTTGCATAAACAAGTTAACACATTTTAATTCTGGCCGGAAGTGGAAAATAAGAAGTAATAGTAAAGTTTTAAAATAAAATAAACGTTAGTAAAACTTAAGATCCTTACATAACCCAGTTTTTAATTAATTGCTAACTAAATGATATAATAAATAAACAAGGCATGTAGGAAAATTCTGCTGAAATTGTACGATTAATTTTCTTCTTCTTTTTTAGGTAGTATTTGTCAAGTATCAGGCCTATCTGCTAAATAGCATTTTGTGCCAAGCTCCAACCCAATGCTTCCTAGCTCCATTTGTTTTGGTCGCCCACTTTGTTTATAAAGGCTGACAGCCTTTAACAGAGCTCAGATGTAACCCTTCAGTATTGAGTAATAGTACCTAAAGTAGTCAAGCAAATGAGGGCAAGGCCATCACACTCATATATAAATGGCGTGCTGTTTCCTCGTTCTTACAGTATTTCCAGCATATACTAGTGTCTTGCTGAAAACGTCCCATAGTATGCAGGTATTTTCTGGAATAGTAGTGCCCCGTAATGAAGCCTACAATTGATTGTATCTTCAGACTTGAGTACCAAAGAATTTCAGAGGCAATTTCAGCAGAATGTCTGATAATCACACTTTTAGCATGTTTTTATGCAGAAGAATCAAACCAAACTTTATTCAGTTCCTGGTTTTTCCATTCAAGGAAGACACTCTTTGCAGTCTTCATATTGATTTCACAAAAGACTTCTACATCTATTGGATTAAAAGACGATCCCTGTTTTGCAAGTTCATCTGCCTTTTCATTGCCTTCAGTTGCAATATGTCCTGTCACTCAGATTAGGATTACCTTGTTTCTGGTTTCCAGTTCTCTTAGAAAGTTTGTGCATTCCAATACAATCTTTGATTTAATGCGAAATGAGTATAAATCCTTTAGAGCTGCTTGACTGCCACTTAAAAATGAGAATCCGCTTACCGTAATAGCCTTTTTTATATTTATTTGTAGATAGTTAGTAATAGCGAGAACCTCTGACTGTAAGACAGTGGCATTAGTCTCCAAGACCTCTAAAGAGATTAATTCTGGGTGGGACACCATGTCCTCCCAGGCCTGAAAGATTCTCTTTCTTTAATCCATCTGGGAACCAGATTAGATCATTGGTATTTAAATTGAATACGTTGTCATTCCATTCATCCCTAGCAAGAAAAACTACCTCGAATGGTCTGCGAAACACCAACAAAGTCAACAAAACAAAAACAAAGTCATTTCGATGATGTCTGAAGGCATCAGGAGAATAGGATCATGAATTTTCTTAGTAATACTGATATGACCTTTAGCAGTAGGCTTGCCATACCATTGATTTTGCAGCATCATTCCATATGCAGTCATTCTAGCAACGCTGCAAATGAAGATGTCCAAGGGAGATAGATCTAGTATTATTTCTAACAGTGCTTAAATTTCGCCAGAGCCCACCGGAGTCGAGCTCCGGTACTTCTCAATTTTTAAGATAAATTACAATTCTAGCCGAAGCGCACAGGAGCCCTAAATAAGATGAGCTCCGGTACTTCTTTTTATAAAACTGAACCACAATTTAAAGGGGAAAAATTTAGAATTCCTAACCTTTTAGTTTAACAATAAGAAGACCTTGCAATACTCTATTTCCCTAGAAATACGAACTCATGAGAACATGAGACGTACAAGTAAAGTCCGTTCATCACATGCGGAAAACTTTCCCTTTAAGAAGGGCAATAAATTTGGGAGAGTTTGTTTAGGAACGCGTAAATTTCTCGCCATACCATCATATCTAGTGTATTGTTACCGATGCTTACAGTTAGTTATCCTCGCAGGAAGGAAAATTTGTGTTCTTAACTGTGCGTTAAGGAGAGCGAGTACAATAAACTGAATATTGAGAATAGTGAAATACTGAGATAAACTGCTCAAGCACGTCCTATACATCGTCTTTCCACAGTATCCATTAATGGGGGGAAGCGTAACCAGCAAATTTACATTCATCCTTAGGAGTCAGATTCAGGTCTCATTTTACCCCTGACACACATCTGCTTGATGGCTATAGTTATATCAGCAGAGAGCCGCGGTATCTCTCAGCAAGATTCCTCTCATTTTTTGTGTCCACCCACTCATACGCTCATTCTGTTTTGCCCTGGAATTTTCATCAGCTGTACTTTAAGTATATATAATTTTTGCGATGATAAAAGGACTCCCCCCCCCTATGATCAGAGCTTAAATTGGTCCGGAGCCCACCGGATCTAGGCCACGGTGCTTCTTAGTTTTTGTAATAAATCATAATTTTAGCCGAAATGCGCCGGAGCCCTGAATAAGAAGGCTGCGGCACTTCTTTTATGTAATTGAATAACAATTTCAGTAGAAATTTTATTTCGAAAATTTTATTTTAACAATAAAATTATATTAAAAATCGCTTATTAAATTTCAATTTATCTCTTTACATTTTATTTAACTTTAATTATTTAATTACTTCAATCTTTAATGATTTCACAAAATAATAATTAATTATTTAATAATTATCAATTAATTTATAATTAATTAATTATATAATAATTATTGATTAAGTAACAATTTTAAACATTAATTAAATAGCTATTAATTAATTCGATAATAATTAACTATTTAATTTTAAAATTATTAATGAGTTTAATAGTCATTTTATATATTTATTTACTCTTGTTCCTCTTTGCTGACGGTCTTCCATAGGGCTCCGGCAGTTCTAATCTTAGAAATTAAGCCCTGATTTCTAATGCTCTGGTAGATGCTGAGAGCATCTGTAATACACAGCAGGCCAATCTCTGCAGACTTCCTAGCTTGTCCCTCACAGTTCTTTGCTCCACCTTGCACCACCAGAGGCATACGTAATAATAGGTCTGATTACGATGAATTTTAATAGCATTTAAATAAAAAAATAACATTTAATAGTCTTCCATTGCAAAAAATTAAGACACTGACATTAAAATTTCATTGAAAACGTTCCAAATTCTTTTAATAAATTTTTTTAAGTAATCGATTTTATAATAACCAAAAATGCGAATTAAAGAATTCCTTCAATGAAAGGAATTCGAAAAAAGTGTTACTTTTATAAAACATAATTGGTATATAGGAGAAAGAAAATTTATTTTTTACTGGAGCATATTTTTTTTTTTTTCCTTCAATAGAGGAAGCTCGGCCAACCAAAAACTGCCCAAGGCGCAACGGACTTTTTCCACACGAGACAGACTGTACGAAGTTCTGGAACTGTGTAGATGGAACAGCAACTGAAGTCCAGTGTCCTCCTGGTCTAACATACAGCGACGAAAGGGCCACTTGCGATTGGGCAGATCTTGTGAAGTCTTCTTGCAAATCAGAAGGTAAAAACTATCAAAACACATTCATACTTCTTTAGCTGCTTCTTAATTCTTTTCAGTGAAAAGACTCACAAAATAGGAAAAGAATTATTATAATTTAAACTAATGTATTCACACACTGTTTGAGGTCTTTGTGCTATAACAATTCATAAAGAATAAATGTCAAGAACCTGTTTTACCTGGAATTCATTTCTTCCTGGACCAAGGAATTATACTTACATTAAGTCTGCATAACTGTTAACTGGATTACCTAGTCTTTAATTTCCATTTTTCAGATTTATTGGGTTTTACTTGTCCAGAGCCAACAGCTCATGATCTCCAAGATGGCGTTTACAGCCGCTATCCTCATCCCAGCAACTGCCGGTTGCACTTCACTTGCATCAAGGGAAAAGATGGCTTACGAAGGCCTAGAATGCTTTCATGTACCGAAGGGCTTGTTTTCGATCCTGTAAAGGGGTCGTGTAGCAGGCCGGATGAAGTACCAGGATGGTAAGAATAATTTGCATCTTCCAACCTTAACTAAATATATTTTAACAACTTTGTTCCTATAGTTTTTAAGTAATTTATTACTGTTGCTCTCTTTTCTTGCATTGTGAGATAATTAGCAAAGGCATTTAACTGAGCTTAGTGAGATTAACCACCACAACAAGACTATTTGATAATAATTATGCAGGGGAATAAACCTACATTAAGACTACAATAGCTCTATTAGCTTTACTCTATGATATGCTTGAAAGAATACTTAATAAGCTGATAAATAACTTTTTTTGAAAGTTAGATAATATTTGTGATATCTAATGATTAAGACTATTTTTTATTAAAAAGGAGAAAATATCTTCAATTGTTATTTGGCTTCGTCAGCCTTTCTAGAGTTCTATCTACAAAATAATAAAACTCTTACATTTTAAAATAGTGAAATAATAAAAAACATGACGTCAAGCAGTTGTTTTACTTTTTCGCTGACGAAATAAGAATTTTAAATATTTTATTTTTCGATGTTCTGGATTCATTGAATGATTATATACTTTTAAAATATCTTAAACGGTTAATAGATTAACCCCATAGTGATCTTCAAACTTTTAAAATATGATTGCACAAAGCATCATACCTAATACAGGATAAATAAGGAAATATTCTCTTAAAATTAAAGGAATTTTTGTTTTCTCTTCAAGCTTTGTTATTTCCGTTTCTCTGTGTGTTATTTTCAAAAGGAAAAGAAAATTTGTGCTTACTCACAATAGGGTAAAGCAACATATACAGAACTCCAATTATTCGAATCAAATGGAACCGGACCATTCGGATAATCAAGAATTCGGATAATCGGAATTTTTTTTTTTTCGAAGGAAAGGTCTACGTACACTTTAATTAATTACTGTATGTACTGTATGTTGAAAATGGACGAAAAAATTATTTTTAAAGAAAAAGATGCTTTAATTAATTAAAATGGAAAGGCAAAACTTTTACGTACATGTTATATAGCGTATTGTATAGTACTTACAAGTGCTGAAAGTCATTGCATGTTGAACATCTCGATCAAAGTAAGCCGTTTGACTGTCTTATCCGTTTTCGGGCAGCCAAGTCACGCATTCGCTTGATAATAAGAAGTTGCATATGGTTACACTTGGGTTCACGCTTCACCCACGTCAACGCAGTTTCAAGGCCGGCAAACGCTTCACTAGCCGATGGTCCCGTGTCTGTTTCAACTTCGACATTAAGGTCATCTTCTTCCTCTACACTTCTTCTCTCACAGATTCAATAAGGTTATAATCATTTATAACTTGAAACCCAGGGTCTGACAAAACACACACCATCCAATCTGCTGTACACTGAGCATTAACTTCTGAACATCCAGGAATTTTCAAACAAATGTTTCTTCATTCCTCAAGAACAAAACAAAACCTCCTCAAACATTCCATTCCTCAAACAAAATTCCTCAAGTGACACGCCATCCTCATCTTCTCTTGTATATTTCATTTTCTTCTGTAGGGCGTCTTTTTCCTTCTCCTCCTTTTCCTTCTCTTTTTCAGTTGATTCTGAAAAATTCTGAAAGCAATTCGGATAATCAGCAATTTGGATAGTCGCAGTTCGGATTATTGGAGTTGTACTGTACTGTTTACCCATTTATTTTCGCTGAATATACATATATAATACGCACATTCGCATTCAGTTTCACTGAATCGTTTCTTATTTTCCGGAACGTGCAGTCATTATTATTACATTACATTTTTTCTTGCAAATTCTAAAGTCGCATGTTAAAATCGTGGATTCAAGATGACACTCTAGAGAGAGACTGACAAAGAGTGGGAAAAAAACAGTTAATTAAGTTCTGATCAGTCAGTCTTTAAAACAATAATTCTAAATAAAATTTCGGAATTAATAATTGTAATTTTCTTTTAAATTTCAGAAAATATATAACTAATACTAAAAAATATTGATGCGTTCTATGAGTTCGTAGTTTTGGAGTAATTGATGATAACACTTGATGAAGAATCAAAACACAGTTTAATCCACGGTACGCACTATTACAGTGGACAGTTCCAAAGACACGTTTACACTCGTCGAAAAATGTGACAAACACGCTGGAACAATTAGCAGTGCAGCCTTCAGGCTAGAACGATGAAGACAGCTTCATGGCAAAGCACTAAAATACAGCTCTTGTCGATCGCTCTCAAGCTAATCTCTGAATTCAAGACACTAGTCTCTCCCAGGACAGGCAGGATATATATAGCTTTAACCTATCTTCGAGACTATTTTAGAGGAAACCGCTAAAAGTGTGTTCTTGAATGTTTTCTCTCCATCTGTGACATATCACCAGTTTTTACGCCAAATATTGCCAAATGGTGATATGCTGTTACTCAAATGTGGGATGGAACTTAGTTATATAAACCTCCCAGGCTTTCTCTTAATTAAATAATCCGTTTCACTCCTTGTTTGGCTTCAAATTTGATTGGTTATACTATATGTAACACTTAAATTCTTTAGTTCAAAAAGTTAACTTCGAAAATAAACAATAGCGTTACTTCTAAGAATAACTCTAACTAGCCGTAGCATTATAGTAATACATATTTAGAGTCATTATGTTTGTCAAAGCAGGAAACAGAAAATGAGCAATAACCTCGCAGCGATTTGAACTCTTGTTTTCCCGAAGCTAGCCGGACGTGCTTCCAACTACACGACGAAGGCGCGAGGGACGAAATAACTTACAATTTGAATCAGTGCAATTAAAGTTATAAGAAATTAATATAATTTGTGTCAGGTACTCTGTAGAGACATTAGGTAATTTCGAAGCAGGAGAGAGGAAAAATGAGACTTGAAATTTGCCGGGACTTGAACCACGGACAACTTGAATACACACAGAGTGTGCTGACCACTACACCGCGAAGGCATGCTAAGAAGGCGAGAGAAATATCTTACTCCCCCCTTTTAAAGGGCTGCAGCAGATTAGAGGACCCAGTCGCCGAATCCTAGGGGTGGAGAATCATCATCTACCTCCTTTTTTAGTTCGGGCGCCACTGTAGAGACATTAGGCATTTTTTGGAAGCAGGAGAAATGAAAAATGAGCAATGCCCTCGCTGGGACTCGAACCACGGACCTCACGAATACGCACCGAGTGTGCAGACCGCTACACCACGAAGGCATGCTAAGAAGGCGGAGAAATACCTTATAACTCTTGTGGCGTAAAAGAACATTCAGCTAGCATTTGGAAGATCTGCGGTTCGATTCTTGGTGATACCGTAGCTGATTTTCGTGTTTCCTGGTACCAAAAGTTAATAGTCTCTAGAAATTCATTTTTGTGTTCTAAAAGAAAAAAAAAAATTGCTCCATAATTTGAAAACACATTAAAACATTTTATCAAAATTGTTCTTTTTATTTGTAAGAAGCATTACAGTTAATCACTGGTTATAATCACCATTTCATTATCAGCTTTTTGATAATTTTGACAAAAGCATTGATATTTTTACCATTTTTTTCAATTTTCGTGTGGTTAGTAATGTCAAAAAACACTACATCAGTTGGTGAAGTATATTAATTTGAAGTCCTATACGATTACAAAATCCTCTCAACAATATTAGTGATTTTTAGTCTAATCCACTTTACCTAATGCCTTCAAAAGCTTTAACTTCCCATTTTAATTGTTTGATGAATCTAAAATTGTCTCTACTCTTATCGTCTATTAAAAAACACAATAATAACCATATTTCCTACAAATATTTTTAATTCTTGAAAAAAATAAAAAAAAAAAAAAAAGGATTTCCGTGTCTTTCACTTTTGAGACTCATAGCACTTTTCTATAAAGCCAGTGTTAAGATAATCTTTGCTTAGTTTTAAATTTCAAAATGTTTCACTTCTCTTCCATATATTAAAGAGCGAAATGTTTTAAATTTATGATTAACCTGAGATCTTAAACAATATAAGGCCCATTTGAGGCCGAGCGGTGAAGTGGTTAAATGTCAGTAGTTCGACCTGAATTCGATTCCAGGCGAACGGTGTGGCTGCTTGGACGTCTTCATTGTTTATCCCATGTATAACGTGGATACAAGCGAGTTTTCTCTAGAAAGTGCCTCCACGAAGGTGTCCTTCAACTTAGGCAGATAGCCCTCCAGTACTTGCTTTAACAAATATTTTAATTTTAATATATTAAATATTTAAAAAATATGCTCTGTGTATTTAATATATAACACAGAGTTTCTGAAACAAATATGCACTGTGTATTTAATATTTAACACAGAGTTTCTGAAACAAATATGCTCTGTGTATTTAATATATAACACAGAGTTTCTGAAATTATGGGCCGCGACTTCGAATGGGGTAACAAATCGAAATTTCGAGGGTCGCGAGAATTCAAGTCGGTAGCTGAATTTAAAGAAACTTCATTCATAAGGCTTTTAAAAAAATTACAATAATTGACATTAATGAGATTAGACTTTTAAAGACATTATACTAATTTATATTAATCAGATTAATTACCTGTTATATGAAGTGCAAAAGGAATTTGTAAAGCTATCTAAAGATTCAAACTTAAACATATTTTTTCACAAAAATCCTTGATGAATTCTGGATTGGAGTTAGAACTAAATTTCTCACTATTTCTGGAATGGCATTAAATGTTCTTCTCTCATTCAGCACCACATATTTTATAAATCTCCTTTTTCATTTTTAACACTAATTAAAACCAAATGTCATTCAACGTTAAAATATGCCGAAGATGCTTTATTTCCAAGCAGTGTCAAATATCGCACCAATATTTAATTTGCTATGCAGCAGAAAACACATCTCTCTCATTAGAATTTTCTTTAATTTTTGTTTGCTTAAAATAAATCCTAAAACTACTTCTTTTTATATCTATGTTGTATACCAAAGAAGTAAACTATTTATGGGAGGATATTTATTTTTATATCTTTATTTTACATTTAATATCTGGGGTCTCGAAAAAAGTCTCAATGGGAAAAAGGAATCGCGATTGAAAAAAGTTTAAGAAGGCTTGCTTTAGCATAATCAAATACAATTACCTTGAGTTGTAGAAACACGTTTCGAAGTTACCAATTGCTGGAATCCTAAAAAGGACTTTTTGTACGAGTCTTAGCACCACATTCTTTGAAATATTAAATTATTACGAAGTAATTGAAAATTTTACAATCAAACGTTCTCTAGCTATTGCGAAGTAATTTCTCTAATTCTTTGCAATGCAGATTATTATTATTAAGATATTGTTTACATTTATTTACTCCTACAGAAAAGAAGCCTGGTTTCGCTATACTTTTACAACTTTTTTTATAAGTTCTTGAAAACAAATACGAGCTTATTTGGAACGTTGGTGAATTTATTTCTCTTTCTCTAAACAGCGAAGACTTTTACGGAAGCCGTAGTCCACCACCGAAAAGGAAGCCTTCCAGGCAACCAGTTCCGGTTGAACCGGAAGAAGAACTGGAAGAAGTCGTCACTCCGAGACCAAGGCGAAGGGGCCAGAATCGAAGAACAAGAAATTGAAAATGTCCAGTTCCTGCTAACTAAACGACGCAGAAAAGTTCCATTTAGGGAATTCAATTAAAGTTTATACACAGAAACAATCATCAAAAATGCATAATGAAGATTTTATTCAACCAAAACAATGTTCTGCAATCTTAAATATGAGAAGAATCCAAAGAATTGGTATTATTGTATATCCTTCATCATTATTTGAATAATTGTATAAATATGCATTAAATTTTGAATATACATAAATTATGAGTTATAAATTGAGTGATAGTAGCCTCTTAAGTCAGTGACACAAAAAAATTAAGAAAATTCAAAGAATTTCGCTTTCTGCCTAAGAAAATAGAAGACATTTTAACAGATAATAAAGAATTAAGGTGTGTTACAGTTTTTATAAACATCAGTTTACACACTAAGCAATATTGATTCAAATATTATTTTTCTTAGGAAACTTATTAACTCTGTAATAAGATTTAAATGTGCTAATTTCTAAAACAATCTATAACAAAAGAAATGATTTTGTATTTATATATTATTGTTGAATTTTAAAAGTATTTTTATTTTAATTTTTTATTTTGTAAGTTTTAATAAAAATCAGAATGCCTTTTTGCTGAATTTATCTTTATAATGTTGTGCTGTGTTGCCATTTTGTGAATCAGAAATATAAAAAATGTTTAAATATATTTCATTAATTTATCTGCTTTGTTCATTTCGAAGCAGTCATTTATGAAGAAGTCCTGTATGTTTAGCATAGTAATTTCTTATAAAAATGTCACCTTTTTTATACAGAATATATTTTGAAGAAATTTGAATGTTTTTTTATTCGCGAATCTCGTTACAGTGAACATTCAGGTTGTTTTTAACCTTATAAGAGGCTTAAAAGCAATCGTTAGTGTTTTAATATATGTTCTCTGTAATAAAGCATACAGTTTCTGACGTTGTAAAGTATATTTGAGATGTGTGATACCCATATTTTGTAACAGCTACGTGAATAAAAAAATTCATTTTTCTTATTTATTTGTGAGCTTTTCTCATTTGAAAGATATTAATTTATGGTATGAACTAATATAACATGATTAATTACGGAATTTTTGAATGCTAATTACGGAAATTTTCACTAAAACAGTTGCATGTTTCTACATATATAATTTCACCATGTCATCTGAGTGAAAGTACAAATTCAAAATTCGCAACAGGTGAAATAGGGATGTTTATGTTTTATATCATTATAAGCAAAACTCTCAAAGAATGCCTTTCAGAACCATTAACTTTTCCACATACAGTGTGCTTCAAAACAAATTGTAGCAAAATTTGTCATAACAAAGAGCTTTATTAGATGTGATAGCATAAGCGTGCAAACACATAAACAATACCTGGAAGTCACTCCCATCTTTTCCTTTTCGACGATTCTCATTGCGTTAGAGGCAGTACACTAGAAAAATATTACTTGCAAAAAGAGGATCTTTCAATCTTTTTAGCAACACCGCAATCTTTTCCCATAATTTTAAGAATCTTGGGCGTTATTCTGTAATTGGCTAAGCATATTCGAAACGCAAACTTTCAGATTGTAAAATCTGATAAATAAGAAGCTTTGTCGACATCGTATGAGACAAACAAGTTTTTCATTGTTTGTCTAATATTTCCCATCGTGCTGGACCTATTGTGAACGAAATCTCATGTTCTTGAGCGAAAAATATTTCATCTCTCAGAAATGGACATTAACGCTTTTCTTATAGTGATTCTGGTTAACAGTAACAGGATTATAAGAATATAATATGTCTGTCTATCTCAGAAATGCCACACATCGTATTATTGGTTGCTGATTATGGAAGAACATTTCCATAATTGCCGTTCGAAACCAAGAAAATGAGATGTTTATGTCTTCATAAATCCATTCAGTTGAATATGGTTTTCGTCAGAAATTCGAACGTTCCGGCAAGAACATTGGATCATAGAACATTGCTAACATTATAGTATACTACACTATTCTAGTTTCTTTGTTTGTATTCTTCAGACATACTCCAATATATGCATATATATTTCACGGAAAAACAGCAGTATCCTTGAAGGTATGGCTTATGGATTTCTTGCTAATTCCCTTTCAAAGATGTTTCTAGATTTGTCTTATTGGAAACTGAAAACAACCTACTTAAGCAACTACCCTTAAATTATATTTATTGTTGCACTTATTGAATGATCGCTACCTGCTTTTCACCGTGTGAATTTAACTCCTGTTTTGACAAATATTTTAAAGGAGTGGTAACGTAACTGAGTTACTGGTTGGTGACGCTCGGAATTACTGTATTAAAACGTAACATAATATTCAGAATTAAAGGCATCGGTCCTGCCCTATCCATATCGATCATGCATTGTTGCAGACATTTCAGCTAAACCTATACTTGAATAAACATATTGCTAAGACTCCAGGTAGTGGGCATGTTCTCTTAACTTTTGGCACTCATTGTTTTGGAGCATATTATACTTCCATATAAGCACTACTGATGACACTTCAGATGTTGAGATGTAAACCACATTTCATGTTGTTTGAAGGATATTTAGTTCTAGAGTAGCCAGAAATTCATTATGCAAATTGAGGCTCGAAAGATTATACAATAAGCATTTTTCAGACGAAACCTCAGAAGGAAATATCCAACGCAAATTTGGAAATAATTCACTTTTCAGCTAGAATAAACTTTCTTTGCCCTTAGTTTTCCGTTTCTGAATCTGCAGCTTTCTTCGATAGACATCATTTTCCATAGTGGATTCTATAGTAGGAATATATGGTAATTCGGCTAATTGTCCTGTGTGGTCAACATTGTTTTTATGAACATCTTATACCTCGTATTAGGTTTCTGGAATAAGAAACAGAAGAAGCTAACTATTCCTCACTCAAAATGGATTCGCAAATTTTCCAGTTACTAGCTGGATATTCTAACTATTACAAATTGCGGACACATGGGAAGAATGTCATATTTTTTTGTATTTCCCTCTCCACTCAGAGATTGACTAGACAGAAAAAACGAGGTCCATTTGCTCAGATGCAAGAGGAAACAAATTACAGACCACGCACCACATTTTAATTCGGACGCCGTTATTAGATTGTTTGAAGGAAACTTAGGAAACGGTTTATCCTTGCTGGAGCTCGGACCACGGATTTCCCATTTGATAGACACATGTGGTAACTGTTACACCATAATAATACCTAGAGAGACTGTCAAAATTGCTCATAAACTGTGGTTACTAGAAGCGTGAGCAGAAGATAACATCTCGCACTAAGAATATTGAAGGATTTCCTCTTGCGGATAGTACAAATTAGAAATTTCTACAGCTATCCTATTGGCAAAGTAATATTAAGGGAGCCATTTACCATAATTTTGGGTCCATGTTCGAAATACGAGAAGACATGATTGTTTGTAAGTAAACAAACAATGTATCTTTGTGGCATGGGGGAATTTAAAATACTGTCGAGCTGAAAGTTCTGTCAAGTAGTTAATGGAATTCGAAAGGGAGTGGGAAACCATCGGATCTGTCATCGCTTGGAGGATTCTTCTTCAGAATCGGAGAGGAGCTGGGAAAAAGGCCTAAATCAACGACAGACGCAATCTTTGCCTCTTAATCGTGATAAAACTCGTGAACTTGATCTGATGTTACCATCAAGAAGTGAGATGAATCACAACGATAACAGAAATTTTCTACTTGTAAATATCTTTCAACATATAATTTTCTTATTCTGGAAACGCTCATCGATGAATCTAGCATTTGAAATTTTTTTTAGAAGAAGGCGAAAGCTTTCTGGAAAGATTCAGAAATGATTTTTTTATGTTCATATAATATTTATTCGAAGATAATAATTAAAGTTATAATTACTTTTATTTTATGCAAAGGGAATCAAGGTGCGAAACAATTTCGGGAACTGTAAGATTCTGCATTTATGTTTCAGTGATTGCTTTCTGCAAGATATTTCCGTATCTACAGACACAGTTATGAAAGATTCTGACCCAAGTTGTAAAAATAATAATCTACGTTTAAAACATTTCTTTATTTCAAGACAATTAATAATGTTTAATTTTTTTAAATAGTGTAACAAAAATTTTAAAATTACATTGTCACAAATGGATAATAGCTGATTTTATACAAGAAAACAAAATACTTGAAAGCTAGTCTGACCCTTATCAAACTTATATTCTTGATTACTTATTCAATTAATTTTTAAATAAAAATTAACTAGTTTTAGAAAGGCATTAGTAATTACTTTTATCCCAAACCGAACGTACTGCGTATTTAAAAAATAAAAGGATTTCGATGTTCTTTAATTATGTTTTAATGTTTTATTATTACTTAAACAATAACTACGTTGTTTTAATTTTATTTAGAAGTAAATACTTTTATTTGATAGAAAAACAATATGATAATACCCAAAATTTTGGCTACAGTTTTCATGTCGATTATAGTCGATTAGAAATTAATATAACTATTTGTAAAACTTTTACTTACAGCGAGTTAAAAAATTGTTTGCGACTAAGGATATCAGCATTGCTTTCCTAATGAAAACGCAGACCAGCTGTTGAGAAGAAAGTTTGTTAAATACTTGTAGTTCGACGCGGCCTCAGATCCCAGCGAACTGGCATGTCGCATGCGTGGTTTTCACATGTGTAGCGTCACAAACCAGTTTCCCTGTAACCTGTTATTTGGTGGGAAAAAAACTGACCAGTTATTTATAATTTCAACCTTTACTGTAACTTCTCTTTTCAATCTCTTCCCCAAAATGCAAATAATTTAACTAAGATTTAAATCGAAGTTTTTGGATTGTAAGATAGAGCGTGTTTCTGCCTCTCACGGGCACATTACGTTAGTTCCTTCTTGCTCTGCTAAGTTTGTAATTATTCGGCTTTGAGTTATTGCTGCCAACATTTGAATCTGATACGCTGGTTAGAAGTTCTGAGCCAACTTAGATTTAGATTTAGATTTAATTGTGTAGTCTTTGACTACTTTTCTACGTTTTAAATTGGAATTTGACTGTTATTTTAGTTGCATTGTAAGGTATTTCTCCTGCCTTCTTAACGTGCCTTCGTGGTGTAGTGGTCTGCACACTCGGCGCGTATTCGAGAGGTCCGTAGTTCGATTCCCGGCGAGGGCATTGCTCATTTTGCAAGTCTTCTGCATCCAAAAAATACCTAATGTCTCTACAGCATAGCCACGAGTTGTGGTTGACTTTGTTGGTACAAGAACGTGCCTTTATGTTCAAACATCATGTTTAAATAAAAAGGTTTGCTTAATAGATAGCACTATATGTATGCTGTGTTTAGAAGATTGAAATAAAGAGAATATGATGAATATTTGTTCCCGGTTAAAATAGACAATCGCCAGTTGTCTTTCAGAATCCTTTTTTAAAATTTAGGTAAGATGAAACTCAAATAAAGTATTAATAGAAAAATATAATCCATTAGATAATATTGATATAACCAACGCATAGCCATTCTTTTCAAAAGAAAGAAGAGCGCAAGTTCGAATGAAATCTATGGTTATTCAGGAATATTTGAATAAGTATTAAATGCTGAGTTATCGGATCATAGTTAGAAACCTATCGAAAAGTACAGAAATTGTTAAATGACAAAATTCCAAATCGACTGAAGCCATTCACCTTGCCTCGGTCTTTCATATTGAAATGCTTTTCGAATTTACTCAGGTGTAAAAAATAAATCTAACACGCGTCGTGTCTTGAAAATGTGTTTCATAGATTCTGCATTTGATTACATTCATCGTCCTAGATGGTTTTCACTGTCGTGTTTAGCAACAATGGTATGTGACATATTCATTGCAAAGCATACCTATCACGACTTAAGTGCCATAAATCTCCTGGAAATGCTATCTAAAGCTTTTAAACAAATACTTTTTATTCTACACCGTAAAATTAAAATTTTTTTTTTTTTTTTTTTTTTTTTTTTTTTTTTTTTTTTTTTTACTCATGCTTATTTCAAAATAGGATCCGAGTGGATTTAACCGAAACAAAGAAAG